TTGAGAAAGGGCTAGATTGTTCAGCCTTTGCTTACACTGGTATGAACATTTACACAAATATTGTGACATTAATGGCACACTCCAGCACTTAATGTTTGTTGAGCAAGCGAGCATAGCAAGTGAGAACTCAGTGTTGTGAGAGATGGCCCCAACTCATTTGTTCCAGGGATGCAAGGCCCCTCATACTTTCCGATAATTCTTCCCTCCAAGAGTGAGAAGATTGTCTTATACTCCTTAAAGTAAGTAAGAGGTAGGAAGTAGAAAGATCCAATCCCTGGGGCTGTGCCCCTTCCAAAGTGTGGAACAATTGTAATCATGCAAGGATGTTGGCATACAAGTAGGGTGACAATAAGGAAATTTGGGACATCCAGGACACTGCTCCCACCCCCCCCAATGTTAGTGGTACTGCTGCACGCAGTGGGCAGGGGCGTGGATGCAGTGTGGTGTATTGTGCCATGGTGCCACCCCACCAGACTGTGCCCCATGCCCCTGAGATTCTGGGACTGATTTTAATTTTCTCCAACTAGCCTTTGAAATCCAGAACTGTCCTGGGTAAACTGGGATGTATGGTCACAATATATACAAGGGACTGTGGGTCATCCTCTGATTTGGACTGCAAAGTAAATCCCAGACTCTGGTTGCTGTTGAGGTCTTATTATGTTCAACTGTTGTAGTTGAATACAAACTCTTTCTGGCTGAATTATGACAACATTACAGCCTGCATACTGACCATTATGACATTAAAAGCCAGCTGCTCCAGGAAAGCTGGTAAAGGAATTTGCTCTTTTCTGAGAGAAAAAGGGGAGCAGGGGAGGATTATGACTGTAAAATCAAATATGTTGTCTCTCTGTTCCTGGGCTTGTGCATTTTTGCAGGCTTCAAGGCCAGGTTAGGCTGTAAAATTGCAGTCTGGAAAATATTTAGTTTTTTACAAATTGCATAAAATGTATGTAAAACAACACATTTTCTTACCCAACTTCTTTCCAATATCATAAACTATGGATAGACAACTTTCAAATTCTTCAAAAGTGGAGAGGGAGTTGCCACGTGGAGCACATCAGCTGTTTTATTTAATAGGCTTGATTCAAGCAAGCTAAATTGCTGCAACTTCAGCCCTAGATGAAATGGGGGGGGGGCACGGTAGAAAGTAGGAAAGGTATAGTCATAGGGCTGGGTCAAGAAGCTGGTCTCTCCAAGCCTTGAGACTGTACTCCAAATGGTGTGTAGATATTTGAATTAGTTAGCCTGATCTACTTCCCAAAGTTAGTTCAGGGCAGCCATTTTTTATCCAATCTAACCTTCCTGCATGTCTGTACAGATCAGTACTTGGATCAGCTTAACCTTAGTTAGGATCTAAATCGGGGTCCTGTATGCACACCTGCAAGCTGTCATGGTTCAACTATTACACTGCCATTGAATGATACCAGAAATTGGTAAATTAGATTATACCCTTAGATAATGTAAATTGGAACAGGATTAAGAATTTCTTTGGAAAAATATTTAACTACCTATTTCCTTTCTATATTTCTCTTACTTGTGAAAACAAATGTCTTTTTATTTGTTTCAATGTAATGCTTTTTGGGTGCATCTACATGAGATGCTTTACTGTTGAGCTGACTAATTAACTCCGTAGTAAAGTGTCACTGTCTACATATGCACCCCATTAGGCCGGAATAAAAATGAATTAAGTCCGCCACAGGATAGTATACCAAACACAAGTACTATCCTATAGTGGAGTTATTTACTGTGCCACAACACACGTGTATACAGTGACTGGAGCTAGTTGGAGCATAAGTGTGCTACAGTGTGAGAGCTGTCTGCTGGCTAGCCCGACACTGTAGCACCCTTGTGCCCCAGCCAGCCCCTTTGCAGCTTGTTGAGCTGAGGGAAGCAGTTCTGGGCTGGCAGGCTGACCCCCGGGACCCCCTAACAGATGGGGCTGTGTTACCCCAGTTCAATATGCTGCAGTCCTAGTGCACGTGTATACACTCTGCTTGGGAGCAATGCATTCCAGTTCAAACTGCACCATACTTTCAGGAAACTCAGCCATATTCCAAGGAGAAATTTTGCCTCAAGCATTCATTCCAGTCAGAGATCAAGGTGGAAAACAAGCTCTTTTGCAACTAAAGTGGGTCCTGCTACACAGCACCATAAAACTGCAAATTGTCTCACAGACTAGAGAAAAGAATGTGGTGGTCCACAAATGTAGAAACATATGTTTACTCTGATGTAATTTGATTTTATTCCAGAATAAAAGTGGAGCAGATACACAACATATAGCTTTACCTTGGTGTCAGTGCCTCCAATCCAGGGTAAAGTAAATCCTCAAATAATGAGGAATAATTATATACCTGTGTACGTTATCCTGCTGTGCCAACTGTATCTGCTCTGATTCACAATTTCATCCTGAGGTAGCTTTTTGCACAAATGGGCTTGCTTTTTACCTATTGGATAAGGTGCTCTCAGCAGTGTAACAAAGTAGGGTCACTGGGGCACCAGCGAAGTCTCCAGTTATCATGTGGGGGTGTTGCAATGCTGTGAAACTGCTTACTTCAGGCAACTAGCTTTGGAGAGCAGGCAGTACTTTTCTTCTTACCATAGGGTAAAAGCTAAAGTAATTTACTTAACAGTGGTGTGTTGCATATCCACCCACCCTATATATAATGACATCTCTTAGAGACATCTGTTTCAGTAGGAGAAGAAAACTATTAAAGCGGGTAGCTTAACTGAGTTATTTGTATCTTGTTTGGATGCTGCAAAAAATACTCAGCTGAGTGAATAACCTAACACTGTGGCAGCGAGTAGAGGAAGCTTGAAGTAAGAACCTTTATCCACTGATAGTAGAGAGAAAGATGGCTTGTACCGAAATTCAAGTCAGTTTGCAAGCCTGCTCTTATTTGGGATTCAGCCAGTAAGAGCTGCTTCAAAAATCTCTCTTAAAATAAAATGAGACAGAATATTTGCTGGAGGGGAGGATTTTTTTTTTTTTTTTTTTTTTTAATGGAGCTGATGACAATGTTCTAAATGTTGACTTCAGTCAAAAATGCTCATCAAAATGTTGCATTTTAGCCACCAGAAACCTACAGTATGTGTGAGCCCTTGTTTAGGCAAGGTATTTCAACAAAACCTCTGAAAGCAAAATTTTATCTTGAAAGTGCTGGGAGATTCCTAATTATAATGGAACTAGTGTCCCTGGGTATAATACAGTTCTGCATTTAATATAGAGCTATTGAACCATACATCCCAACCTAACTAAATTCACTGAGCTCTCATCAAAGCCCTGTAGTGACACTGTGCTCTGTTTGGATGCCAAGCAAATCTTGAAATAGCTCCAGAGCTTTTGTGGTAACTTCAATTGCAATACAGGGATGTGACTTTAAAAGGACAATAATAGTCCAGGAAACGCATAGCATAAAAAGAACCCTCTTGTGATACTTGAGTAGCCAACATCTCACTTCTCGTCTACTACATATTTGTTACTTTTATATAAACCCAATTAAAATGTTTGTGCTTCTTTGGACACAAAGCAGGGCAATTGCTTATCGATAAAACTGACACTTTTCAATCTGTCTCTGTCTCACAAATCCATGCTGCTTTTCTTTATTAATTATAAATGTAATATTAAATGTATACCTAGTTGTGTTAGCCCCATATATGATGCTGATGAGTCTTTGCATAAAGCCCAAACAGACCATACAGTGATGATAATTGACAGCTTCTGATTTTACAAATAGCATGTAGACAACCCTTTGGGTATCCTGCTAACACAACAGAATTCAGAACTCTGAAGGTGTAAAGAGATACCCATTCCAACTTCCATGAAAGTCTGGCACCAATTAGAGTTGGTTGAAATGTTTTGAATGAACTTAAAAAGAAGCTGCTATTTTTAAAACAGATTTCTTAATTTTCCAAATTGCTCATCTTTTGCAAAAAAAAAATTGCTTGGGTTTTAGTCCAAGATATTCTCAGATACTATTAAGATCTTTAATTCAATGCAAGTAAGGTTTTCACTAAACCCAAATAGTACTGATGTCACAGCAGTCTCTTCTTACCCCAAATCCCTTTCTTTAGCTTGAAAAGGCCATAATTATTTCCCTCTTGGCTGAAAGTTAGACTTCCTGGTATCAGAATTGTGTTTATTTGTGAAAGCACAATAATTCTCTAGTTTCTGGAATTTGCAATAATGTCAATTGGACCGTGGCATGAGAAGACTGTATATCCACAGTATGATTCATAGAGAATTTTGCCCTAGATTCCTCATCATCATTGGCAATCCCTCACAGTCAAGGATGATTATCTTCCATGATTGCCTTATCTGTGGGTCTGAAGATGGCTGACAAGGCCAATCCAGAATTGAAAGGTTCTACTGCAGCTCGGGCTTGTGTTTCTATTCGGCGGGGGTGAATTCTGGGTTCAGTCCATGACATGCTGTTTCTGCTGCTCTAGATTCCTCTTTAATATCTGAAATATATAGCTTTGTTTCAACAAAAACTTTGCGCAGTGGGTGCATCTACAAAAGACACTGACTGCACAGTAGCCTGATGCTAGCAAAAAACCATGATGTGACACTACTTCTCAGTAGTATTAGGCTACTGAGCAGCAGCATCACAAAAAAGGTATTTGCCGGTGCTACTGTGCAGTAACTCAGGTTATTGCACATTTATTTAGTCCTTGCTTATACAAGTACTAAATAAATGTGCAGTAACCACTGTGTGGTAGTGTCTTGTGTAGATGCGGCCAGTGTGTGTGTATTTGCAGGGATGCAAGTTTCAAAAAGCATTTTTTGGCTGAGAAAACACTGGCTTCTTACTCTCTCTGTCTGCTGCACAAGACAGCATCAGTGTAAAAGCTTTTATTTGGAAGTAAAGTCTTTACGATTTTTTCTCTTGAGCTACCAAAATCCCTTATTCTAGTATTGAGTACTGTCAACTTCAAATTGGGTATATATAATTCATTAAAATGGGAATCCTTGGTAACAAGTTTGTTTCTCTCTCTTCCAGTCTATCCGAGAAGTCACAGGATATGTCCTGGTGGCTTTGAATCAATTTGAGCACCTCCCATTGGAGAACCTACGCATCATTCGTGGGACAAAACTCTATGAGGACCGTTATGCTTTAGCAATATTTCTTAACTACAGAAAGGATGGTAACTTCGGACTTAGGGAGCTCGGCCTTAAGAACTTGACTGGTAAGGAAAACATCTATAAACAGATGTTGCGTTATAATAGCAGGTTAGCTTGTTTATTGTTTACAGAGACTGGTGCATACACCAGTGTTATTTATAGACTGTGTGGGCGCATCTACAATGCCTCTTTTAAGTAGGCTTAGCCTAAAATAACCATTTTAAGGTGCATTAAGGGTGCATGTCTACATCTCTACACATAAAGCAGGTATCAAATTTGGGCATCAATAGCTAAGCGCACATGTAGACATGCTAATTTGGATTAATGCAGTGTGCATCAATGGATAAACACTGTAGTAATGCTCATTAGCATGTCTGCACATGAGCTAATGTAACTTACCTATTCATACCTAAATTTAATCTACCTTAATGTGCATTAGCCTAAATCGCCTTAATGTGCCTTAAGCAAAGGTGCATTAAGTATAGGCATGCAAAAATACACATGTAAACACACCATGTGTGTACTAAGATGCTTTAAGTCATACACAACTGAAAGACTTAAATGCATATAACTTGATACCTTTTTGGTGCTCACCAGTATTTTTCTTAAGCTCGATATTGTGACATCTGTCCATGTGGAATTGGCTGTATTGAATTACCCAGGAAGAGTATAGGGACTGAAACTGTAGATGTGAACAGGTTTCAGGAAATAGGTTCAGACTTCCAACTGATGTAAAACAGCATGATTCCTTTGAAGTCCGTGAAGCTGCACCAGCTTACACCAACAGGAGATCAGGCCTGCTGTGTTCAGTTGGGCTACAGAGCATACTAGCAAACAGGTGCATAGTCATAGCTCCTACTGCCCCTAAATAAATGCTTTAACTAGAACATTTCCATTATTACTATTCAAACTTTTGTCTCTGCTCTGTAGCATAATTAAATTGGAAAAGTTGTTGGAAAAGTAGGCCGGCTTTTAGAAAAGATACTATTTATAAAGACACATGCATGCTAGTGGTCTTATAACTTACAGAAGTCCCTTGGTTATTTGTTCCAATACAGATCTATTGAGAGAGAGAAATGCACCACCACTGTCCATTTATTTAGCATTGGAGGGCAAAACCTGGGAGAATTGAACTCGAAGTAGTTCTTTTTACTTCCGTAGAGCTTTGGCATCCATGTGAGACTAGGGTCCTGGAGTTGGTGTTTATGTGGTTGAAAGTTGAATTTGTAATACTGGCTTATATACAATGTAGTGCAGATAGCAACTGTGTATGGTTCTCCAGAGTTCATTCAAATCACTTTATTTATAGATGCTTCCTCACAGAAGAGGGACATCATGTTTTGTAGTGGCTTTGTGACAAGGACTCATCTCCACTAGTGGCTGAGTGCAGACCAGAAATGTGTGACCTGAGCTGGATTTGAAATTTGACCCTGAATATACAGAGGTGAAATCTTGCTGAGAACAAGTGAACCTTTTCACTGCTCTAAAAGGGGAAAAGGAACTGCCCTTTGAGAGCACATGCCAGTAGTTACAATCAGATAGTTACATGACCCTATAGCAATACAGTGATCCAAATCACCTTCACTTTGACCCTGAATGAAACTGCTACACTTGTACTGCTGAAGAATCAATCAGGCCTACCAGTTGCATGATAACAGCTTATATTAATATCATTTGATATCAGTGCCATTGGTGTGCCTATATATCCTAAATTTATGCACCCATTTACATCTTATTGTATGCTTTTATTATGTCATTGTATTTATTCATTGGTACAGGTACAAATTACCTAATTCTTTTAGAAAGTGGAAAAAAAGATGCATTTGATGTAGTAGTTCACATATATCCCTCTGACTGACATGTTCCAGCCTCATCTTGAACTGAGATAAAAGTCTTACAACATGGTAAAATAGTAGTGTAAGAGTGATGCTGTAATCATGATGGTTCAGAAATTATGCAAGAGGCAAGGGTTTCTTAGGGAGATATCTTATTGGACCATCTATGTACTTGGGCTTGTCAAACTCAGCTGGTCCAGACGATCTCCACCCCAGAGTGCTGAGGGAATTAGCTGAGGTCGTTGTGGGACCCCTGGCACGGCTTTACAAGCACTTGTGGTGCTCTGCTGTGGTCCCAGAGGACTGGAAGAAGGCCAGTGTGGTTCCCATCTTCAAAAAAGGGAGGAAGAAGGACCCGGGAAACTATAGGCCAGTTAGTCTTACCTCGATCCTGGGTAAGCTTTTTGAGAGAATTATTCTGGCACATATCCACGAGGGGTCAGCAGGGGAGATTATGCTTAGAAGCAACCAACACAGGTTCATTAGAGGCAGGTCCCATCGGACTAACCTGGTGGCCTTCTACGACCAGGTCACCAAATCCTTAGATGCAGGGGTAGCAGTGGACATAGTCTTTGTGGACTTTCGGAAGGCATTCGACACTGTC